GTACAAATACAGTACACGTTTTTCTTATATCTTATCAAATTTTGAACATTTTTGTTTCGGGCAGGTAACATTTTTTGTCACCTGCCCAACAGAGCAGGTAAAGAAAAAAAATCTTGTCGAACCCTGGTTACAGCCAAGCGTAACGTCATCTGATGAAATGGTACTTTTAGATGGAAACGTGCCTAATTGGCATTTCTTCTTTTCAGTTGGATGGAAACATGGCTGTTGATGTATTTTTGTGCTGTTTATTTGTTCTTACATGAACCTCAGCAATATTACTTTAATATAAATACAAGTCTTTACCAAACATCCTGTTAAATCAGCTAAAAATATCCCAGTAGTCTTGAAGCTGTTTTTCTCACTCTTGCAGGTTGTGTATGCGTTGCTGATGCCAGCTAGTGCCACTCTGGGGGAGGATGCTAGCGACTTTCAGTACAACTTCCTAAAGAGTGGTGGTCTGCCCTTGGTTCTGAGCATGCTCACCAGGAACAACTTCCTCCCTTCAGCGGACATGGAGACACGCCGAGGGGCTTACCTCAATGCTCTGAAGATCGCTAAGCTTCTTCTGACTGCAGTTGGCTTTGGACACGTGAAAGCTGTGGCTGAGGCCTGTCAGCCCAACGCTGAGGGAAATATTCCCGTCTCTCCGGTTAGGCTTTACACACAACTTGCGCAAACAGACAAACATGTATAACTGGTTTCTTAGAACTGAACCTGCCATAGTTAACAAGTCTGTCTCTGTCTGAACAATTATGCACAGATAAACCAGGCAACTCACGACCAGGCGCTGGTTCTTCAGAGTGCCCTGCAGAACATTCCCAACCCTGCCTCTGAGTGCATGCTGCGTAATGTAGCTATTCGCCTGGCCCAGCAGATTTCTGATGAGGTAACATTTACAGGGATGTAAAGCTGCGTTCACACTGCAGATGAGTTCGACCCAAGTCTGGTTTTAATTATTATTATTTTTGTCCCCTGTGCAACCCACCTGAACATGACAAATAAGGAAAACTTTTTTTTTGTTGTGGTACTAAATTAGGAACAAATCCAATGTTTTTCAAAGCAGCCTGAGCACAGAATGATAATCAACAGC